GAATAGAAATCGTTCCCGAGCCCGTCAGACACACAGTAGAGATATAATAAATATCTTACTAACCTCGTTTCCTCGGTCCGTACCGTAAGTTACGGATCCTGGTTTTCCCCTTCGATTTATGGCCCAAGCGCGAAGCGCGCGGGCCATAAATCGATAGGGAAAAACTCGGTCGGTAACTTACAGTACGGCCCTCGAACTCGGTTAGTAAGAGGTATTAAATCGTCAGCAGAAATTACCTGAAACAACAACCTTGAAGGTACATTCAGCAAGGTTCCCTCTTTTATCGGTTGCAGAGTAACGTATGACGTGATCTCCTGGATTGAAAATGGTTCCCGAATTTTTGCCATGTAGTGTCACGTTGGGCGGAATTCCAGAATTATCCATGACGTCAGGAATAACCCATTCGACTTTGAAGGACGTTTTTTCCCTTGCAGCTGTGACGAAAATATTTTTAGGACAAGACGAGAATTTTGGTGGAGCTACATCTGAGAAAAAAAATATGTTAACATTGTTGAAGCATTAGTAAGACCAAATTAGAGAGCGACAATAAATGGCTACTCAAACTAACTGCACGTACCAACGAATATAAATGGCAAACTTCTATAATCTATATTATTTGAAAATTTCTTAATAAACTCTGATATCATAAGCCCCCCTCCCCCCTCCTCAAAATACAATTTTGATAAATCACAAAAACCAAAGTCTTAGGTAATATTATTTGAAAGCATAATAACAGAATCGGATAGCATAAACCCCCCAAAACATAATTTTGATAAATTTATTTACAATACCCATGGCATTGCCTCAGATTATAAATTTATAAGTATCATAATTTCAGTACAATGACTGTGTAAATGAAAAAGGTACATTATTTGTAATACTACCAGTAGGTGGAGTATTTGTAGGTGCTGTATGTGGAATGATGTAGTTTGCCTGTGGTGCCATGTACTGTGACTGCAATATACCAGGCTGGTACAGGACACATCATTTGTCGCATCAGTGCAAACCTATCTGATATCGATCCTGTTAGTTTCTCTATGTTGGAAGTTAGCTTTTCCAGGTGATTGGTGTTGGCCTTATCCATATTTTTCATTTTTTCTAGTGGTTGTTTTTTTTACCTGAAGCTCTTCTTGAAAAACAGTCAAAAGTTGAGTGTCCACAGGTGATTTCCTTTTCAGTCTCTCTCCCTTATAAACTTTTAATCTCGCATTAAGGAGAACTCTCCTTTCTTTAACCGTCCCCTTGCAGGAGAAAATGCTTGGGGTGGAAGAATTATCTGTAATTCCATCATCAGTTTTAGGGCTATCCACACTCTCCAGTTCAGGGCTGTCGGATCTGCCCGTTTTAGTCGATTCAGGGCTGCAGGAACTCTCGTAGTTTTCCAAGTCCACATCAGTTGTCTCTATCCCGTCTGCTTTCGTTGTTCTTGCAGGAGAATCACCGAATGTCTCTTCATATAAATCAAAATAGAACAGTACAACGCGGCCATGTCCGCTTTTCCTTCACTTCCAGAGTCTATCGCTTGCCTGAACTTTTTGCGAATCATTTTAAGCTTGTATGTCAAACTCGACTGGGTGATTTGTTCCTTGTCATGTGGAAAATAATTTTCAATGGCCACTGCGTTCTCCGGTGTAGGATATTGATCGAGAAGGAGTTTTAATATGTCGCCATACTTGTGTTGACAAGACTCCCAGTCTGCATTCTCGATAGCTCTTAAGTTTTGTGCTCCATCGTGACCTTGAGTAGCAATTCAACCTCATCATCGGTCCAAATAAAGGAACTAACTGCTTCCTTGTCGGTTTTCTTCGGATTTTACTTC